TCTGTAGATTTCTTTGGGTAGTATGGTCATTTTCACAATGTTGATTCTTCCAATCCAAGAACATGGTATATCTCTCCATCTGTTTGTATCATCTTTAATTTCTTTCATCAGTGTCTTATAGTTTTCTGCATACAGGTCTTTTGTCTTCTTAGGTAGGTTTATTCCTAGTATTTTATTCTTTTGTGGCAATGGTAAATGGGAGTGTTTCCTTAATTTCTCTGTCAGATTTTTCATCATTAGTGTATAGGAATGCAAGAGATTTCTGTGCATTAATTTTGTATCCTGCAAATTTACCAAATTCATTGATTAGCTCTAGTACTTTTCTGGTAGCATCTTTGGATTCTCTATGTAGAGTGTCATGTCATCTGCAAACAGTGACAGTTTTACTTCTTCTTTTCCGATTTGTATTCACTTTATTTCTTTTTCTTCTCTGATTGCTGTGGCTAGAACTTCCAATACTATGTTGAATAATAGTGGTGAGAGTGGGCAACCTTGTCTTGTTTCTGATCTTAATGGAAATGGTTTCAGTTTTTCACCATTGAGAACGATGTTGGCTGTGGGTTTGTCATATATGGCATTTATTATGTTGAGGTAAGTTCCCTCTATGCCTACTTTCTGGATTTTTTTTTTTTTTATCATAAATGGGTGTTGAATTTCGTTGAGAGCTTTTTCTGCATCTATTGAGATGAGCATACGGTTTTTATCCTTCAGTTTGTTAAGATGGTGTATCACATTGATTTGCATATACTGAAGAATCCTTACATTTCTGGGATAAACCCCACTTGATCACAGTGTATGATCCCTGTAATGTGCTGTTGGATTCTGTTTGCTAGTATTTTGTTGAGGATTTTTGCATCTATGTTCAGCAGTGATATTGGCCTGTAGTTTTCTTTTTTTGTGACATTTTTGTCTGGTTTTCGTATCACGGTGATGGTAGCCTCGTAGAATGAGTTGGGGAGTGTTCATCCCTCTGCTATATTTTGGAAGAGTTTGAGAAGGATAGGTGTTAGCTCTTCTCTAAATGTTTGAAAGAATTCACCTGTGAAGCCATCTGGTCCTGGACGTTCGTTTGTTGGAAGATTTTTAATCACAGTTTCAATTTCAGTCCTTGTGATTGGTCTGATTATATTTTCTATTTCTTCCTGGTTCAGTCTTGGAAGGTTGTATTTTTCTAAGAATTTGTCCATTTTATTGGCATATAGTTGCTTGTAATAATCTCTCATGATCCTTTGTATTTCTGCAGTGTCAGCTGTCTCTTCTTTTTCATTTCTAATTCTATTGATTTGAGTCTTCTCCCTTTTTTTCTTTACGAGTCTGGCTAATGGCTTATCAATTTTTGTTTATCTTCTCAAAGAACCAGCTTTTAGTTTTATTGATCTTTGCTATCATTTCTTTCTTTTTCATTTATTTCTGATCCGATTTTTCTGATTTTTTTCCTTCTGCCAACTTTGGGGTTTTTTTGTTCTTCTCTCTCTAAGTGCCTTAGGTGTAAGGTTAGGTTGTTTATTTGAGATGTTTCTTGTTTCTTGAGGTAGGATTGTATTGCTATAAACTTCCCTCTTAGAATTGCTTTTGCTGCATCCCATAGGTTTTGGGTCACCGTGTTTTCATTGTCACTTGTTTCTAGGTATTTTCTGATTTCTTCTTTGATTTCTGCAGTGATCTCTTGGTTACTCAGTAGTGTATTGTTTAGCCTCCATGTGTTTGTATTTTTTACAGATTTTTTCCTGTAATTGACATCTAGTCTCATAGCGCTGTGGTCGGAAAAGGTACTGAAACGATTTCAATTTTCTTAAATTTACCAAGGCTTGATTTGTGACCCAAGATATGATGTATCCTGGAGAATGTTGCACAAGCACTTGAGAAGAAAGTGTATTCTGTTGTTTTTGGATGGAATGTCCTATAAATATCAGTTAAGTCCATCATGTTTAATGTGTCATTTAAAGCTTGTGTTTCCTTATTTATTTTCATTTTGGATGATCTGTCCATTGGTGAAAGTGGGGTGTTAAAGTCCCCTACTATTACTGTGTAACTGTCGATTTCCCATTTTATGGCTGTTAACATTTGCCTTATGTATTGAGATGCTCCTATGTTGGGTGCATAAATATTTACAATTGTTATATTTCTTCTTGGATTGATCCCTTGATCATTATGTAGTGTCCTTCTTTGTCTCTTGTAATAGCCTTTATTTTAATGAGAATTGCTACACCAGCTTTCTTTTGATTTCCTTTCATGGAGTATCTTTTTCCACCCCCTCACTTTCAGTCTGTATGTGTCCCTAGGTCTGAAGTGGGTGTCTTGTAGACAGCATATATACGGGTCTTGTTTTTGTATCCGTTCAGCCTGTCTATGTCTTTTGGGTAGAGCATTTTATCCATTTACATTTAAGGTAGTTATTGATATGAATGTTCCTATTACCATTTTCTTAATCGTTTTGGGTTTGTTATTGTAGGTCTTTTCCATCTCTTGTGTTTCCTGCCTAGAGAAGTTCCTTTAGCATTTGTTGTAAAGCTGGTTTGGTCGTGAATCCTCTTAGCTTTTGCTCATCTGTAAAGGTTTTAATTTCTCCGTCGAATCTGAATGAGATCCTTGCTGGGTAGAGTAATCTTGGTTGCAGGTTTTTCCCTTTCATCACTTTAAATATGTCCTGCCACTCCCTTCTGGCTTGCAGAGTTTCTGCTGAAAGATCAGCTGTTAACCTTATGGAGAGTCCCTTGTTTGTTATTTGTTGCTTTTCTCTTGCTGCTTTTAATATTTTTCCTTTGTATTTAATTATTGATAGTTTAATATGTGCCTTAGCGTGTTTCTCCTTGGTTTTATCCTGTATGGGACTCTCTGTGCTTCCTGGAATTGATTATTTCCTTTCCCATATCAGGGAAGTTTTCAACTATAATCTCTTCAAATATTTTCTCAGTCCCTTTTATTCCCTCTTCTTCTTCTGGGACCCCTATAATTCGAATGTTGGTGTGTTTAATGTTGTCCCAAAGGTCTCTGAGACTGCCCTCAATTCTTTTCATTCTTTTTTCTTTATTCTGCTCTGCAGTAGTTATTTCCACTATTTTATCTTCCAGGTCACTTATCAACTCTTCTGCCTCAGTTATTCTGCTATTGATTCCTTCTAGAGAATTTTTCATTTCACTTATTGTGTTATTCATCATTGTTTGTTTGCTCTTTAGTTCTTCTAGGTCCTTGTTAAACGTTTCTTGTATTTTCTCCATTCTATTTCCAAGATTTCGGATCAACCTTACTATCATTACTCTGAATTCTTTTTCAGGTAGGCTGCCTATTTCCTCTTCATTTGTGTAGTCTGGTGGGTTTTTACCTTGCTCCTTCATCTGCTGTGTGTTTCTCTGTCTTCTCAGTTTGCTTAACTTACTGTGTTTGGGGTCTCCTTTCCACAGGCTGCAGGTTCATAGTCCCCGTTGTTTTTGGTGTCTGCCCCCAGTGGGTAAGGTTGGTTCAGCGGGTGGTGTAGGCTTCCCGGTGGAGGGGACTGGTGCCTGTGTTCTGGTGGATGAGACTGGATCTTGTCTTTCTGGTGGGCAGGACTGCATCTGGTGGTGTTTTTTGGGGTGTCTGTGACTTTATTACGATCTTAGGCAGCCTCTCTGCTAATGGGTGGGGTTGTGTTCCTGTCTTGCTAGTTGTTTGGCATAGAGTGTCCAGCACTATAGCTTGCTGGTTGTTGAGTGGAGCTGGGTCTTAGCATTGAGATCGAGATCTCTGGGAGCGCCTTCGCCATTTGATATTATGTGGTGCCAGGAGGTCTCTGGTGGACCAATGTCCTGAACTTGGCTCTCCCACTTCAGAGGCTCAGGCCTGACACCTGGCTGGAGCACCAAGACCCTGTCAGCCACTCGGCTGCCAGTGTTGGAGGGTCTCCTGCAAAGGTGGGGGTGGCTGTGGCTCACCACGGGGACAAGGACAGTAGCAGCAGAAGTTCTGGGAATTACTCCTTGGCGTGAGCCCTCTCAGAGTCTACCATTAGCCCCACCCAACAAGACTATTTTGAATTATGGTTTTCTCAGGGTACATGCCCAGTAGTGGGACTGCAATGTTTTTAAAAGGCCTGGAGGGATACACTAGCAAATGGTAGGGAAGAGGGGGGGGCCTGTTGGAAAATATGATGTGGGTGCTCATCAAAGCGAGTTCAACGGTATCAGTAATGCACTGTTACTTTGAGTTAAAGAAAAAAGAGATGAAAGAAATATGGCAAACTATGAATAACAGACAGAACTTTGTAACAGGAACATGGTGTTTATTATATTATTTTTAATGCTTTTCTTTGTTTTTAAAATCTCTTGAATAAAAATGGAGTAGAGCCGGTCATCATTCATGGAATTATTATACCTGCAAAGATGGACATCAATTTGTAAGAATGCTTCAGACCTGCCCTATCCAATATGGACCACTAGCACCGTATGGCTACTTAAATTTTAACTGATTAAAATTAAATGCAGGGCTTCCCTGGTGGCGCAGTGGTTGAGAGTCTGCCTGCTAATGCAGGGGACACGGGTTCGTGCCCCGGTCCGGGAGGATCCCACATGCCGCGGAGTGGCTAGGCCCGTGAGCCATGGCCGCTAAGCCTGTGCGTCGGGAGCCTGTGCTCCGCAACAGGAGAGGCCACAACAGTGAGAGGCCTGCGTACCGCAAAAAAAAAAAAATTAAATGCAAATAAAAATTCAGTTCCTTGGTTGCAGTAGTCACATTTCAAGAGCTCAGCAGCCACATGCAGATAATGGCTACAATATTAAACAGTACATATAGATCATTGCAATGAGCATAGAAAGTCCTATTGGACAGCACTGACCTGCAGCATACATTTAAGAAATGTGAATATCTGAACTCCGTATTATGCTTCTAAACTTCTGGTCCCAGATAATTCTGCTGCATTGTACACAGGGCATGTGCCCCCCAAATTATTTTTTCACATTTCTACTTGATATCCTATTTCATCTACCTTCCAGTTACCTGTGAATTTAAAGGGAAACAAATGCTGACACCACTTACAAACTGGTTCCTATCACAGTTTCTTTCTGTTTGTTGTAGGCGAACTGCTCCTGCTCTCAACTATGATTTTCCTGCTCCCGGTGGTGTGTGGCTGCCCAGAGAGGTGCCACTGTCACTCACCTTCAAATTTTGTAGACTGCAGCCGGCAGGGTCTGGCTGAAGTCCCTTCCGATCTGCCTCCTCAGACTCTAACCCTGCACTTACAAGATAACCAGATACGTCAGCTTCCGGCTTCTGCATTTAAGTCAGTGCCACAGCTCACAGCCTTGAACTTGCACAACAATTCTCTTTCAAATCTGACCTCCGGAGTTTTCCATGGACTTCAGCACTTGCGGGTCTTAAACCTAACCCAGAACTCCCTGCATTCCCTGGAAAGCAGACTTTTCCATTCCCTCCCACAGCTGAGGGAACTTGATTTATCATCAAACAACATAAGCCACCTTCCCACATCCCTGGGTGAGCCTTGGGAGAACCTAACTGTATTTGCGATCCAACAAAACCAGCTTCAGCAGCTCGATCGAGCCCTCCTAGAATCCATGCCCAGAGTGAGGCATTTATTTCTCAAGGACAACCTCTGGAAATGCAATTGCCACTTGCTCAGTCTTAAACTCTGGCTGGAGACGTTTATCTATAAAGGTCAGTAATGCCTATCTGTGTGTTACCAGCCTAGGATGAACCTCATCTGTTCTCTGCATTAGAAGGGATGTTGAGGAGTATTTGAGGGATCCATGTAAGCTTTTTTTTTTTTTTTTTTTCCATGTAAGCTTTTTCACATTGATGTCATTTCATGGTATGGCAAAAGAGGCAAGTGAGTCATTAAAGGGTGTTTAAATTCAGGTATTTAAAATCATCTACAGATACGATTCATGGAGATAACTTTCCACTTTTTTTTTCTCCCCACCCCAACTTTCCAGTCTTTGATTAACAATACCATTAAGTTATTTTTCTGGGAAATGTAGGCCCTTAAGGAAGAGGGAATTTCAATCATCACCTAAATAACTACTCAACTCTGAAATGACACCAAATTTTGATTTTCAAGTGTGATCCAACTGGGGGCATGTTATCTCTCCTTAGGACTTTCCTCCCTTCTTTGTCTGCTTCTGACCATTTGACAGCTGTGAATCTTCCCTGATATTATCCATTCTGCTTTAGCAAACACCACTGTTACTGAAACTGGATACAGTAAGGTACCCTCTCCAAAGGGAACTACTATTTCTTTAACCAGATATCAAAAGCAAAGCAAGAGATCCCAGAACATAAAAGATGAGGGGATCTAGAAATCACTCAGGGGTCAGCAAACCATAGCCCAAGAGCCAAATTTGCCCCACCTCCTATTTTTGTAAATAAAGTTTTGTTGGAACACATCCACACCCATTTATTTACTGTCTGTGGGTGTTTTGCATTATAAGGGCAAAGTTGAATAGCTGGGACAGAGACTATGGCAAGGCTTAAAATGTGAAGTATTTCTGGCTCTTTATAGAAAAGTTTGCCAACCCCTTCTAACTCAATGCTAGCCTATTATCAATGGGAAATGGAGGCCCAGAGATGTTCATGACTTGACCAAGGTCACAAAGTAGAAGCACAGACAGAAGTAGAATGAGTGGCTTTAGGTCTTGGCCCTGCATTCTTTCCTCTACGTCACAGTGTTTCTTTCCTCCTAACTTTTAAGTATCATTCATTCATTCATCCTATACTTGAGTGAATCTTATGTGCCAGGGGCACTTCTAGGCACTGAGAAAAGGTCAGTGAACAAGAAACTCCCCACCATCATAGGCATTACATTCTGACAGTAGAAACATGTTAAAAAAGACAAATATATACCCATGTTCAGATAGCAGTTAGTGCTAGAGGTGGGGTAAGGGGAGAGAGTAATGGGATGGGGGTTCCACTTCAGATGGGAAGGACAGGGAAGGCCCCTCCAAGGAGGTGACATGGGGGAGCAGAACTGAAACAATGAGGGGAAATGAACCATGAGATAACTGGGGGAAAGGACAGCAGTGCGAAGGCCCTGACGGGAAAGTAAGCTTGGCTCCACTGAGGGACAGAAAGAGGGACAAATGAGTGGCTAGAACAGAGGAAGGGAGTGAGAGAGGATAAGGCAGCACAAGTACCCAGGACTTGGGTCATGTTGGAACGTGCAGAATAGGCTGAGACATTTGGATTTTATTTTAGGCGAGATGGAAATCTCTTGAAGAATTTTAGTCAGGGGAACAATATGATCTGATTACATTTTAAAAGGTCACTCTGGTGACTCTAAGGAGAGTAGACCAAAAGCTACAGAAGAAGAAGCAGGGGGATGAGGGAGAAAGTGATTTCAGTCATGCAGGGAAAAGATGATGGTGGCCCAAACCAGAGTGATGAGAAATTATCAACTTTGGGAGATATTTAGAATATTGAACTGATAGAAATTATAATGGGTTGGCATGGGAGATAAAGAAAAGAGAGTATATTATAGGAAATTCAATTTTGTTTTGTCCTTCAGGAGTAACCAGATAAATGGTGATGCCAGTAGCTGATAAGGGGCAGGCTGGGGAATAGGGGAAATGGGTAAGTATGTGTAGGAGGTGGTAAATCAAGAACTCAATGTGGGGCGTGTCAAGTTTGAGATGCCCATTACATAGCCAAGGAGTGTTGTTGAGTTGGTGGCTATATATCTGAGCCTATAATTTGGGAAGATATCAGAGCTCCAGACATGAATTAGGGAATCAACAGAGTCCAGATGGTTGCAGCAGTTACACAGAAGGAAGTGGGAGAGAGCACATGAGTTCAAATAAATAATATTGAATTAAGAATCTCTCTCAACAATAGCCAATAGCTTATCACTAACCAGCTGATCTTCAAGTTGACCTACAACAGAGGCCATATAATGTGACAAAAATCTTTTATAGGAGGTTGCAAATAAAAGTGTTTACATCTAGAGGTGAAGTGGCTTCAGCTATTGTGTTCTAGACTAAATGGTAAGCATAAGCCAAAGCATCAGAGAAAGATGGTTTTCATCAATTAGAAATATTTCTTGACAAAAAATATTTCTCAGGTCCAGGATATTAGAAGCAACATAAGGTATGATATAGCTCCCCCTACTCAGGCACAAACTCACTGGTGATCTTCAGGCAAATTGATGCCCCTCACTAGCCCTCAGTGTCACCTGGTGGAAACGGACAGTGTTAAGCCAGGGAGTTCCTAAGGCCCGTTCTGGTCCTCAGATTCCACAGTGCGGTTCAACGCTCCCTCATGGCGGAGCTGCCCCATCCAGATGACAGTCTTTCTCTGGAGGAAGGCAAAATTTATTTGGGATAACAAGACCTGGGTGTCCCAAAATAACTAAATAAAATCCCCAAGTGAATGTAGGAGACAATCTGACTACTGATGCATTGAATAAAGGCAAAATAAGGGAATAGGTATTGGTCAAGACCTTAGTTCCCACCAAGGGGAAACAAAGTATATGGAGGATGAAGCAGGGGGTTTTGCGGCCTGGAAGTGTCACTCATTGGTTCTGTTGGCCAGAACTCAATCACGAGGCCCCAATCTGACCACAAAGGGTGGGGAAATTTCATCTTCCTGTGGACCCAACAGAGAAAAAACATGCTTTGATGAATACCTAATAATGTCTCCTCCACAAAAACATGCACATAGATTTTGTAATTAGCATTCCTCTCTCTCCATTCATAACTAAACAAATCATCTTTATGCTAACAGCTAACTGTATTAAACATTTATTCTGGGCTAGGAATTGTGCTAAATACTTGACATACTTTATCCAACTGAGTCCTCAAAGCAATCTTGTGAGGTAGATTTCATTATTACCCCAGTCTCCCACTTCCCAGGTGAGCAAGCAGAGGCACAGAATGGTCAAGTAACTTGCTTAGGGTTGCACAGCAAAGTAATGGTCAGACTCAAGATTTGAATCCCATTTCTTCCCAAGACAGGAGTTAAGAGCTGCTAGTGGACAGATGATGAATAATGTGAGTGCTTGGAAAGCTGGAGCTTCTTGCACTGTCAGCTGCTCTGAATCCAGAAGAGACTGAGACCCTCAAGCTATCATCTGCAGATTTGCTTCCTGGGGTCACGGCTGAGGAGATGGTGGTGGAAGGCTGGGAAGTGAGTCCTGGCTAAGGACACAGGAGGCCACGGAGCTCTTGGTGGCCATAACCCCTGTCTTCCAGCAATATCCCAGGCTCTAGTCTGTGTATTCTCCTGGCTCTGTGTCCTGAGGCCATGCCTCCCACCCTAATGCTGAACAGCAGGAAGCCTGGAACTGGAGAAAGACAGAGCTTACCCCTGAAGTTACTGGGTGAACCGCCCCAGTCTAGGTCAGCTGGTGGAATTGCTGGTCCCATGGCAGGTGGCCTTTCTTCCCCTGATGAAAGTCTCAGTGCTCTTTGCCTGGGTTAAATATGGTTACTTCTTCTCAAGCCCCCACACTTCTTTTCTGCTCTCTGGCCTTCTGCTTTACAACCAGCTTCCAGGCAGAGTATTGAAACGGTCTCTGAGACAGGGATCCTTAATCACGGTGCAGCCTGATGGCGCCTTGGGCTCATCCAGAACAGGCACCCCACACCTCTGGCCTCCTGCACCTCAGCTCAGGAAAGGAGAAAATTCCTCTTATCTTTTTGCTTTAGAGTTGAGGCTCTTGCCTCAGGGGATCACTGAAGAAGCCAGGACGGGCCCAAGAGACTCTGGCAATAGGTGACTCAGTTGAAGCAGTAAAAGCAAAAAAGGTATGAGTTGAATTTTGTCATGGCCACTGACCCCAGTGTGACCTGGGCCACAATAACCCCTGAACTGCAAAATGGCCCCATCTACTAATACGGCCATGGTAAGACTCAGCTTATAAGGCTCAGACAGAATGGATGTGAAGGCATTCCCAAAACTCTGAAGTGCTATACAAAGGAAGGTTCTAAAAACATTGAAGTGACAAGCTCCCGCATGGCAACTTCTGGTAGTTTCATAATTCACCTACGATGTGTACAAAGAATCTCCAGTCGAACTTGGCTAAGATTGGTGCCAGGCTTCATGGGGGTGAGATTCTACTGAGAGTCATGTGTTAACTCCACTGACCTCAGGATGTTTCAGAGAGGAGGAAGTAGAGAGAGGCGGTAGGTGTAGCGGGGAAAACTGGGATCACAGGAGAGAGCTGGGTTTCGGTGTTGCTATATCCACTTATGACCTGAATGACCTTGGATAAGAATTACCCATTAGAGCAGAGCTGTGAGGACTTATCTGACAGTGCTTTATAAACTATCAAGTCAGATACAAATAGGATGTTTTCATGGCAAAAAATTTAGTCAGAGAACTTTATCTGCCTGAGGTCAAATAGTAAATTGGTGGTCAAATTTGGCCAGGATGGAATCTGTTAGCCCAGTGTTCTTTCTAGAAGAGAACTTCTAGGCACACAAATTCTTCCTGAACAATAGTAGTCCACACACATGAGGAAATTAATCCCCTTAGAGAGAATGGAAATTGAGTCCAAAAACCCATTAGAAAGTGCGATACTTGGGACTTCCTTGGTGGTCCAGTGGTTGAGACACCACGTTCCCAATGCAGGGGGCTCAGGTTCGATCCCTGGTCAGGGACCTATGGTCCCGCATGCTGCACGGCAAGGCCAAAAAAAAAAACCATTGAGAAAGTTTGGTACTTTAAGTACTAAGTGTTTCGAGGTCTGAGGAGACACGTTAATTGTATTTAATCCCATGAACGTAACTCATATTCCCGTCAAACCTTCAGATACACAAAGCACTCACTCACAGGGCCACTGACCTCCCGGTTTGGCATCACTGAAGAGTGTTGGTAGAGACAGAGGGTCTTTGTAATTAACACATAACATCACAACAAAAGACATTTGTTTTATTTATTTATTTTTTAGCTCTCCAGTGGGAATTTGGCACAATAGGTTTCTTGTGTGGCAGGGCTCATTAGGGCATGCAACAGTGCCCTCAGGCTGGCCTCCAGTGCCCCTTCCTGTCAGCTTTTGCATTGTTATTCCCTTGGCATTTATAAGGTAAAGGTGACTTGGCTTCTAATGAACTCTTGGTCACACATAATTGTCCATTTAGTGTGTGGCATTTTTAGCATTTAGCCAATTTAGAAACCCTAAAATCATAAAATACAATTGTTAAATTTTTTGAAAAAAAAAAGGTGTTTTATAAATTCCATCTGCCTAAGTTTTTACAGGTTGAGGATTTGGGAGTTTGGTTGTATCAGGCTCTGCTATCATTCTTTGCTTTTGTTTCTCAAAGGGGGAATAACAGACAGCATCATCTGTGCCTCACCGGACACCTGGAAGGGAAAGAACCTCCTTAAAATCCCTCACAAGCTGTACCAGCCCTGCCCTTTTCCTTCTCCAGACCTGGAGTCCTCACAGGTGCAGCAGCTAGGTGCTGCCCACCGGGCTGTACCCAGGTCCCCTGAGAGCCACAGCTCAGGGGAGCGAGACCACTGGGAGTGTGAGATCAAACCCAAGCCGAGGCCAGCCAATCTGCGCCACGCCGTGGCCACCATCATCATCACGGGGGTGGTATGTGGGATCGTGTGTCTCATGATGTTGGCGGCTGTCATTTATGGCTGCACCTATGCAGCTATTACCGCCCAGTACCATGCGGGACGCTTGGCTCAGATCAATGAGCCTGCGAAGACAGAAGGAAAAGAGCTGTTTGACAGCTCAATGGCCTGAGAGCTTTCATCTCAAATACGAATAATCATTATAGGCCAGAAGAAAGTTTCTGAGTAGGGCTGATGGTTCACTGTTACTGCCTCATTCTCTTTTTCCAAAAGGAAAAAAAAAAAAAAAAAAAAATGTGTCTGTAAAAAAAGACAGTATTCCTGGGAAGAAATTGATGTTGAGATTTTAAAAAAATACCATAGTTGAAACAGAGATGATAACTTGTGCTCTGTGCCTGAGAAGTTATGACAATATTCTATGTGGGGAAGGCTGTCCACAGAGAAAGGGAAGATACATCTCTTTCAAGGTACTCTTCCCTGCATTAAGTTGCCTTTACAGGGCAGCAGAAATACAAACACGCGTGCCAGCATTCCTGGCAGCTTTGTGGTCCACTCAAAAACTGCCCAATTTTGAGTGCCTGGGAAGAAGTTGGCAACCTTACCCAATGGGCACTGAGTGCTTCTATAGTCCAAGTTCATGATAGACCGGTGATACTTTTAGATGTTAGGTATGTTATATATTTAGCAAAAGTGTCTGTTGGTTGGGAATTTTGTAGCTTGCCACAAGAGTCAGATTATATTTAATTTTCTAAATCAGAAAACCATTTGGGGCTTTCTAGGCCACAGAAGAAGAAGAGGGCTCCATGACTGGATAATGGGACTCAGGCCCAGGGTCTGGGGAAGTTTTCTGATGCAAGGGTAAATAACATATAAACAAACACAAAGAGGATGGGGTGGCGGAATTCGAGGCACTATTACCCAAAGGCCATATCCACCAGGCGATTGGAACCTTCCATTTATAACTCTCACAGCAGGAATGAATTTAGGGTGGGCTGAGAGCGAGATAATGGCTTATGTGTATCTGTATCTATGTACATAGTGTGCAGAGTCCATAGGCTTGTTCAACCACACCCACACATAAACATACTCAGAGCAATCAGTTTACCCACTAATGAAATGCAGCCGCGGCAGGGTGGAAGCCAGCAGCTGTTGACCACCACCCAGATTGTCTACTCAACACTCTGGGATAGGAAGTCAGAGGAAGTCTGAATAGAGTGGGAATTATCAAGAGGCTGGAGATACGTGGGAGCAGCCGTCCTGAACATTATTTAGGCTGGGGTTTAATAAAATCAGGTGTGGCTTGCTTGACTCCACAGACACGGTCCTGAAGAGCTGCATGCAAAGGAAATTTTTGTAAATTGAATCATCATTTTAATGCAGTAGGGGATCTCGCTATTTAAAGGAACTTTTCATGGAATCTTTCTGTAATGGCAATAATTGGCTCCAGATTTATGTATTTTGTAAATTTGCATTTTCTCATGCTAGGATTTCTTAAAGTAGAATCTACCTGCTCTCTCTCTCTCTCATGATGTCCCATCTCATACTTAGTCACCTGTTAGTATTAAAATCATTTTACACAGAGGAGTTAAGGACTTGGCAAAAGCAAGGAATAGCAAATACAGGGCAAGCTGTCCCTCCAGAGGCCTTGACAGACATCATTAATCAATCCCAGCACTCCTCCCTGAGCCCTGATGCACCACAGATGCCTTCTTAAGACAGGCAACCAGAACTAATCAACTGGAATTGGTTCAAAGGATAAAACATATTTGTCATTCAGGGTACTGGCCCTATATTCACTCTTTCAGGCCATGTAAAAGTTGCTTGGATCCTAAATCAGCAGTCCATTCCATAAACTGGCATGTGAATGGGCAGTCCATTCAGTCTGGAATACTGTTTCCCTGTCTGATGTGGCCAAAGCCTTGCCCAACAGTATAAAGAGGCCAAGGGAAAGACGGATGAACCTACCCTAGCCTACCCTGCAGGACACAGAGGCCATCTATACCTGCTCACAGTGCTTCACAACTAGTGTGGGCTGCCCACACCCACAAGTTAAAGATGGGCCATCTCTTTGGAGCAGCAATTTTGCTAAATGATTCTTCTGGGGGAAAAAGTATAAATTTGATGTTAATTTTTTCTGAGTATTAAAATAAACCTGGGTACGTTAAAGAGTAGTTTGAAAAATCAGCATGGATTTTAAGATCAAAAAGAGATTCCAGAGAAAGTCAGCTGCTGCAGCAGCTCCATCCCAAGCCTGGTGCTTCCTTTCTTCTCTGCTTCGTGCACCACTTCAGTGGGCGAGTCTGAGCATCCAGTCTAAGGTTGTAGGGATTACTTTCCAGGTGGAAAAAAAATCTTTCTTTCCCTTTCCCTGGACCATGAGTCCTTGGCCAAGAAAGCACTATGAGAAAGGAAATCGAGAAGATCTTTTTATACATCGTCCTCATTTCACCAAATGTTTCTGGAGTTCGTACTACGTACCAGGCATGGTGAGAGGTGTTCTTGTGAACATTCATGTAATCTTGGCAACCATGCTGTGAGATACTTGAACAGATATTACATAAGCTGGGAACTACTGAGGCCAACCACAAGTGCCTCTTCTCATTGCTGTGATTTAAGACATGCAGTGCACTGTGCTCTGCCGGAGGCCTGGTGACTGTACAGGTCAATCCCGTCCCCCTGGCCACCGAGATTACATGACAGAGCTTCCAATGCACCGCTGAAAATCCTGAAAGTGGCTAGAATCCTCACTCCTCAACACCCACGTCCTATTAGATTTCTAAGCACAGATGATAACTCAGGCAAACAGATTCCTGCTTTATGAGAAGTCTTTAAGGAGAATGACTAAAATGATGCCTTCATGTATTCAGATTTCTATCTTTTGCCTATAGTCACCAAAAAGAGCAGTTAACGATGAAAATAATTACCCTAAAATGTCAACAATTCTCTCAGCACAGAAAAATATAAATCAAATTGTTTAGATTAACAATTCAGCGTTATCATTTGTTAATACGAGAAATGAAATGTTTTCTCTGTTAAAAACATCACAGATGAAAGACCCAATTTGCAGGGTATTCTGTGAGAACCACAAATTATCTTTCACAACCACTACAGCTCATGAGGGGTAATTTGCAAACGCCTCATAGATTATTTTCAGCTGTTTATTGCTGCTGTCATATTTATAAATTCCCCTATAAAAATGCCCTTCCTTCAAAGAGTCATAGAGCCTTACTGAAGGAATACTGTGAACAAATATCATGTTTAGTGTTGATTGTTTCTGAGAAAATCATGTAAAATATAGTTTCTTCATTATATTTAGCGGAACAGTATCACTATTTTTGCTTTGCCAGAGATCACAAATTCACAATAGCAGGACCCAACAGACATGAGGCATATAAAGAGGGCACAGGAGGAATTTTTTCCACAGAGATCGTGGAGAAAGAAGACCTAGTGTCAAATCTATACCTGGAAAGCTTTTAAAACTAAGGCAAAAATCCTTGACCCTGTGGGAAAAATCTTGTGCTTCAGATGATAATATGCCCACAGACAACTGGGTATTTTGTTTTTTTCTTACAAAAATGAAAGACTGAAAAGTGAATCATAGGATTGCCTCCTGAAGGTTCATGAAAATCAAATTTCATTACTCAAGTTTACCAAGTTACCCCAGAAATATCACACTCGTCTTAGATCCAAAATATCAAAGGAAGTGGCTCAATTTCTAAAATGATCTATCCATAGCACCCATTATCATAATTATACAACTGTTAGAAACCTATAACTTTCTATCACAGATCAGGAAATAACTGTTTTCACTTGGGTCAAACCCACCAGTGTATCCATTGCTAAATGCTATTAGACAGAAAACTACCAGCAAATGATACTCCAACCTCACATGGCATCACTGGGGTGTGGTTTATATGCACAATTTCAGGGAACTATCCTGCTTTCCCTTGTGATGAAAATGTTTTTTTTAATTTATTTTTTAATGCTCAAAATGCAATAAAATCTCAAAGAAACCTCCCTCCGGTTGGGAGAAGCAGCTTTCTAACCCCTCACTTTCTTTTCAGATTCTTTTTTTTTTTTTTTTAACATCTTTATTGGAGTATAATTGCTTTACAATGGTATGTTAGTTTCAGCTTCACAACAAAATGAATCAGTTATATATATACATATATTCCCATATCTCTTCCCGCTTGCGTCTCCCTCCCTCCCACCCTCCCTATCCCACCCCTCCAGGCGGTCACAAAGCACCGAGCTGATCTCCCTGTGCTATGCGGCTGCTTCCCACTAGCTATCTACCTTACGTTTGGTAGTGTATATATGTCCATGCCTCTTTATCGCTTTGTCACCGTTTACACTTCCCCCTCCCCATAGCCTCAAGTCCATTCTCTAGTAAGTCTGTGTCTTTATTCCTGTTTCACCCCTAGGTTTTTCATGACATTTTTTTTTTTAAATTCCATATATATGTGTTAGCATACGGTATTTGTCTCTCTCTTTCTGACTTACTTCACTCTGTATGACAGACTCTAGGTCTATCCACCTCATTACAAATAGCTCAATTTCGTCTCTTTTTATGGCTGAGTAATATTCCATTGTATACATGTGCCACATCTTCTTTATCCATTCATCTGATGATGGACACTTAGGTTGTTTCCATCTCTGGGCTATTGTAAATAGAGCTGCAATGAACATTTTGGTACATGACTCTTTTTGAATTATGGTTTTCTCAGGGTATATGCCCAGTAGTGGGATTGCTGGGTCATATGGTAGTTCTATTTGTAGCTTTTTAAGGAACCTCCATACTGTTCTCCACAGTGGCTGTATCAATTTACATTCCCACCAACAGTGTAAGAGGGTTCCCTTTTCTCCACACCCTCTCCAGCATTTATTGTTTCTAGATTTTTTGATGATAGCCATTCTGACTGGTGTGAGATGATATCTCATTGTAGTTTTGATTTGCATTTCTCTCATGATTAGTGATGTTGAGCATTCTTTCATGTGTTTGTTGGCAGTCTGTATATCTTCTTTGGAGAAATGTCTATTTAGGTCTTCTGCCCATTTTTGGATTGGGTTGTTTGTTTTTTTGTTATTAAGCTGCATGAGCTGCTTATAAATTTTGGAGATCAATCCTTTGTCAGTTGCTTCATTTGCAAATATTTTCTCCCATTCTGAGGGTTGTCTTTTGGTCTTCTTTATGGTTTCCTTTGCTGCGCAAAAGCTTTGAAGTTTCATTAGGTCCCATTTGTTTACTCTTGTTTTTATTTCCATTACTCTAGGAGGTGGGTCAGAAAGAATCTTGCTGTGATTTATGTCGTAGAGTGTTCTGCCTATGTTTTCCTCTAAGAGTTTGATAGTTTCTGGCCTTACATTTAGGTCGTTAATCCATTTTGAGCTTATTTTTGTGTATGGTGTTAGGGAGTGATCTAACTTCATACTTTTACATGTAGCTGTCCAGTTTTCCCAGCACCACTTATTGAAGAGGCTGTCCTTTCTCCACGGTACATTTCTGCCTCCTTTATCAAAGATAAGGTGACCATATGTGCGTGGGTTTATCTCTGGGCTTTCTATCCTGTTCCATTGATCTATCTTTCTGTTTTTGTGCCAGTACCATACCGTTTTGATAACTGTAGCTTTGTAGTATAGTCTGAAGTCTGGGAGCCTGATTCCTCCAGTTCCTTCTTTCGTTCTCAAGATTGCTTTGGCTATTCGGGGTCTTTTGTGTTTCCATACAAATTGCAAAATTTTTTGTTCTAGTTCTGTGAAAAATGCCAGTGGTAGTTTGATAGGGATTGCATTGAATCTATAGATTGCTTTGGGTAGTAGAGTCATTTTCACAATGTTGATTCTTCCAACCCAAGAACATGGTATATCTCTCCATCTATTTGTATCATCTTTAATTTCTTTCATCAGTGTCTTATAATTTTCTGCATACAGATCTTTTGTCTCCTTAGGTAGGTTTATTCCTAGATATTTTATTCTTTTTGTTGCAATGGTAAATGGGAGTGTTTTCTTGATTTCACTTTCAGATTTTTCATCATTAGTATATAGGAACGCCAGAGATTTCTGTGCATTAATTTTGTATCCTGCCACTTTACCAAATTCATTGATTAGCTCTAGTAGTTTTCTGGTAGCATCTTTAGGGTTCTCTATGTATAGGATCATGTCATCTGCAAACAGTGACAGCTTTACTTCTTCTTTTCCGATTTGGATTCCTTTTATTTCCTTTTCTTCTCTGATTGCTGTGGCCAAAACTTCCAAAACTATGTTGAATAAGAGTGGTGAGAGTGGGCAACCTTGTCTTGTTCCTGATCTTAGTGGAAATGCTTTCAGTTTTTCACCATTGAGGATGATGTTTGCTGTGGGCTTGTCATATATGGCCTTTATTATGTTGAGGAAAGTTCCCTCTATGCCTACTTTCTGCAGGGTTTTTATCATAAATGGGTGTTGAATTTTGTCAAAAGCTTTTTCTGCATCTATTGAGATGATCATATGGTTTTTCTCCTTCAGTTTGTTAATATGGTTTATCACATTGATAGATTTGCGTATATTGAAGAATCCTTGCATTCCTGGAATAAACCCCACTTGATCATGGTGTATGATCCTTTTAATGTGCTGTTGGATTCTATTTGCTAGTATTTTGTTGAGGATTTTTGCATCTATGTTCATCAGTGATATTGGCCTGTAGTTTTCTTTCTTTGTGACATCCTTGTCTGGTT